CACCTGGGTGGACTTGAACCTGTTAACCTTTCAGTTAGTTAGTATTGTTTTTGTTAAGTGCTGTCAAGTCAATTCCGACCCATAGCGACCCTGTATTATAGGGTTTCCAAGGAGCAGCTGGTGAGCTTGAACCACCGACCTTGCAGTTCAAATGACTTTGCAGTCGGACGCATTAGCCCACAGCACCACACCAGGACTCAATCATTTGTGGCACCCTGGTCTCGCAATATCCAAAACACTCACTTGACGTACATGAACTTACATTGCTGATTTATTTGTTTATGTGTGTGTATTTGCTTTCCAAATACACACACATAAACTGATGTGGTGGTGTAGAGTAAGTACTCAATTGCAAAGACAGTTTGAACCTAAAGGTTGCTTCAAACTCATCAGCCACTCCTCAAAAACCCTTTACAGCATTGCTATGTGTCAGCACCAACTTGATGACACTCACAGCAACATTTGCTTTCCAAAGGATATATATAACACCTTAGAGGGAAAGGGAATTAATTAACAGTCACAACACCATAAAACAAATATTGTTATACACAATGTTGTTGTTGTTATGTGCTGTGGAGTTGGTTCTGACTCATAGTGACCCTGTACAGGGTTTCTGAGGCTATAAATCTTTACGGGAGCAGAAAGTCTCATCTTTCTCCTGTGAAGCAGCTGGTGGTTTCAAACTGTTCACCTTGAGGTTTGCAGCCCAATTCGTAACCATTACGCTACTTCCGTTCTAACTCATAGAGACCTATGTACAACAGAACGTAGTACTGCTCAGTTCTGTGTTAGCCTCACAGTTGTTATGTTTAAGCCCATTATTGCTGCCACTGTGTCAGTCCATCACCTTGGGGGTCTTCCTCTTTTTCATTGACCTCTTTACCAGACATGATGCTGTCCAGAGACTGGTCCTTCCTAACAACATGTCCAAAGTATGGCACACTGTCTCGCCCATGTTCCCTTCTAAGAAGCATTCTGGCTGAACTTCCTCCAAGATAGATTTGTTTTTTTTTTTTCTGAAAACCTGTGATAATTTCAATATTCTTTGCCAACACCATAATTCAAATGCATTAATTCTACAGTCTTCCTTATTCATTGTCCAACTTTTACATGCGTATGAGGTGATTGAAAGTACCATAGTTTGGGTCAGGCTTACCTTAGTCCTCAAACTGATATTTTTGCGCTTTAATATTTTAAAGAGGTCTTTTGCTGCAGATTTGCCTGCTGCAATGTATCATTTGATTTCTTGACTGCTGCTTCTCATTGATTGAGGATCCAAGTAACATGAAATCTTTGGCAACTTCAATCTTTTCTCATTTATCATGATGTTATTTATTGGTGCAGTGGTGAGGAGTTTTGTTTTCTTTGCATTGAGCTGCAATCAATACTGAAGACTGTGGTCTTTGATCTTCATCACGAAGTATTTTAAGTTCTCCTCTCTTCGATTCTTTCAAGCAAGTTTGTATCATTGCATATCATAGGGTTGTTAATGAATCTTCCTCAAATCCTGATGCCACTCGCTTCTTCATATAACCCAGTTTCTCAGATTATTTGCTCAACATAAAGAGTGAATAAATATGGTGATGGAAGTATACAACCCTGACACATACCTTTCCTGAGTTTCAACCATTCAGTATTCCCTTGTTCTGTTCTAATGACAGTTTTTATTCATCTGTTTCACATCATCATTTCTTCTAGTTGCTTTCAGTTCTCTAAGTTCAATATCAAGTTACAGAGTCTCTTCTGGCATCTATTCTTGGTCTATGCATAGGTTCCTCATGAGCACATGTTCTGAAATTCCCATTCTTCACAATGTTATCCATATGTAAACATCTTTCTGGTTTTCTCAGCTTTCAGACAAGATCCATCTGATGTCAGCAATGATACCCTTCCCTACCATGTCCTCTTCTGAATCTGGCCTGAATTTCTTGCAGATCCCTGCCCATGTACTGTTGCAACAGTTTGTTTGTTTTTGTGTTTTTTTTTTAATGCATTCAGTAAAATGTTACTTACATTTGATGTTAATGATGTTGTTTGGTGATTTCTGCATCCCATTTGATCACCTTTCTTTGAAATGGTCACAAATATCTGAATCTTCCAACCAGTTGTCCAGGTAGCTGTCTACCAAATTTGTTGACATAAATGAGTGAACACATCCAGCATTGCATTACTTTGTTAAAACATTTCAATTTTAATTTCATCAATTCATGGAGTCTTGTTTCTTACCAATGCCTTTAGTGCAGTTTGGATTTCGTTCTTCAATACTGTGGGTTCTTGATCGTATGGTACCTCTTGAAATGCTTAAACATTGACCAGGTATTTTTGATATAGTGACACTGTGTATTCCTTCCATCTTCTTTTTTCTTGCTTCATTCAATATTTGGTCTTTAGAATCCTTCAGTAATGCAAGTCAAGGCTTGTATTTTCCTAAAGTTCTTTCAGCCTGAGAAATACTGAGCATGTTCTTCTGACTTCAGGTCTTTTCACATTTCATTATAATATTTGACCTTGTCTTCTTCAGCTAAGCTTTGAAATTTTCTGTTCAGTTCTTGTAGTTCATTAATTCTAGTTGTTTTAGCTGCTCTACTCTCAAGAGCAAGTTTCAGAGTCTCTTCTACCATCTATTTTGGTGTTTTCCTTTGTTCCTATCCTTTTAAAGACCTTCTTCTTCCTTCATGTATGATGTTCTTGATGTCATCCCACAGCTTCTCTGGTCTCTGGTCATTAGTGTTCATTGTGTTAAATCTGTTCTTGAGATGGTCTGTAAACTTCCTGTAGGATAAGCACTGGACTGTGAAACAAAGGTTTGGCCATTCAAACCTACCAGGTGCTCCTTGGAAACCCTATACAAGGTCACTATGAGTTGGAACCAACTCAATAGCACTTAACAACAATAATAGCATACTCAAGGTTGTATTTTATCTCTTGTAGACTAAATTTTTTTCTTCAGCATCAGCTTTAACCAGTATAGCAATAATTGATGCTCTGTTCCACAATCAGCCCCTGGCTTTGTTTTGGCTGATATTGAGCTTCTCCGTGGTCATTTCCTACAGATGTAATCAATTTGATTCCTCTGTACTCCATCTGGTGAAATCCATGTGTATAGTTGGTGCTTATTAGTTGAAAAAGGGTATTTACAATAAGTCACTGGTCTTGCAAAATTCTGTCATGCGATCTTCTGCATAATTTCTGTCACCAACATCCCATTTTCCAATTTCCTCTTTGTCTCCAGCATTCCCATTCCTATCAACAGTAATTATCAATGCGTCTTGATTGCATGTTTGATCAATTTCAGACTGAAGAAGTTGGTAGAATTCTTCAGTTCCTTCATCATTGGGTTTAGTGGTTGGTGTGTCACTTTGAGTAACAGTGGTATTATCTGGTCTTCTTTGTAGATGTATGGATATTATCCTATTACAGTCAGCATTGTACTTCAAGATAGATCATAAAATGCTCTTTTTAATGATGAATATGAGGCTATTCCTCTTCAGTTTGTTGTTCCTGTTTGTTGATTGTCTGATTCAGAACAGCCAATAAAGTCCATTTCAGCTTGTTAATGCCTATGATATCAATCTTTATTCATTCAATTTTATTTTGACTTCCAATTTTCCTAGATTCATAATTCATATATTACACATTCTGATAATGCAGCTGTTTTCTCATTTTGAGTTGTGCCCCATCAGCAAATGAAGGTCCCCAAAACTTTGCCCCATGCACATCATTAAGATCAACTCTACTTTGAAGAGGCAGCTCTTCCGCTGTCATATTTTGAGTGCCTTCCACCCTGAGGAGCTTATTCTTTGGCACTATATCAGATAATGTTCTTCTGTCTTCAAGGTTTTTAGGGGCTAACGATTCAGAAATTATCTGCTTCTCCTTCTTAGTCTTAGTCTGTAAGATCCTCTGAAACCTGTCCACTATGAGTGACCCAGCTGATATTTAAAATACTTATGCCCTAGCTTCCAACATCACAACAACATGGAAGACACCACAGTATGACAAACTAATAGACGAATGGTGGTTTACTAGCCCATGAGAATTCTACAATTACATAATTGTAGAATTCTGTGAACTGTCCAATTTCCATCTCTCACCTGTTATTGATGACCCTCTCATTTCTCTCAGTCTTCTGTCATTAATCAAATGCCTAATGTATGTCTCCAAATACTTCAGAACATTTCCACATGGATGTTCCACCGTCACCCAGAACTCAGCATGTTGAAAGTCTCACTCATCCTCAGACTGGATTCCACTCCCCCTCCCCTTAGCCAGCTACTTTGCTTCTCTTTCTCCTTTCCTCCTCTAATGCTTGAGTCATTTTCTCCTTTCATATTTCCTCTTCCATGGTTGCCTTTCTTTTCAAATCTTACTCCTAACACCCTGGTTTAGTCTGTCAGTATTTCACATATAAATGACTTAGACAATGCCCAAACTGGTTTTTCTGCTTTGCATTATTTCTATGTGCACACACACCCTCTAATCAGTAATACATATGGTCACTTGTTAATTTTCCTAAAATTGATGAAAATATTCTTGATGCCTTTAAAGCCCTCCCATGAGTCCCAATATCTACAGAGTAAATTTTAATAAGCAGTCTAAAACAACAAACACATAGAGTGGCATGTAAGATATTTCTTGACCTGGATCATTTTCTTGTTCCCCCATAAATTCCTCCTTTCTTTTATATATGTCCACCCTACCTATTAAGGTACCTAATGCAATAACAAATGTTTTAAACAATGGAGATTTAATGGGGAGACCAAATTTAGTTTAGGAAAATGTTTTGGAATTAGGGAATGGATTTAAAGGGAATTTTTTAGTTGTTACAGTGAGAAACTAAGACGTCTGTCCTGATTTTAGCGTCTTTGTTTATGTGTAAATACATCTTACTTTGGGAATCCATTCTCATAGCTAATGAATTGCAGGTATTATAAAAGTAAAAGCAACCTAACTCTTGAGCGAGTCACCATGTAAGCTGTGCTCTCCATTTAATTTTGCAGGGAGCCTCGCAAGGTGGTCCTGCATAAAGGATCCACTGGCTTGGGCTTCAACATTGTGGGCGGGGAAGATGGAGAAGGTATTTTTGTATCCTTCATTTTGGCTGGTGGACCAGCAGACCTAAGTGGGGAGCTCCAGAGAGGAGACCAGATCCTATCGGTGAGTATTACTCTTTATTCTTCAAACTTGACACTATCATGAAAAAAGTCACTTAATTCTGGCTCCAAAAAAAAACAACAGTAATACAAAAGAGGTAAGGGTGAGAACTTTATGCTTTAGGTGTGTGCTAGAGTTTAAGTGGTATCCAGCTGCTTGATCCTTGTTAAACTTTCCTCAGAGAAATGTAAAAGGGCTGGTCTTCTTTTAGATTTTCAGAGACATATATCCTACTATTGCTGTTGTTATTACATGTCATTGGGTTGGTTCCAACTCATAGCATCCCTGTATAGGGTTTCCAAGGAGTGGCTGGTGAGTTTGAACAAAGGACTTTATGGTTCACAATGACATTGCAGTCCAGTGCATTATCCTCCAATACCACGCCAGGACTCCATCCTACCATTGTTGTTGTTAAGTGCCATCGAGTCAGTTCTGGCCCATAGCGACCCTGTGTAGGGTTTCCAAGGAGCAGCTGGTGTGCTCGAACCACCAACCTTGCAATTCACACGGCTTTGCAGTCTGGCGCATTAACCCACCATGACACACCAAACACTGAAAATTGTGCCTTTTTAAACTGGTATGTTACATATTACTGAAATGCTATTCTTACATAAACACATGAACATACTATACAAATTATAACTTTAAAACATGTATAATTTGATGTTTTCCTAACTATGTAAGAAAGTGCATAAAATAATGTTAAATCCAGTTTTTGTGGTAGTGATGAGGGGTAGCTGAGCTTCCATTTACGTAAGTACAAATATTACCAGTGTTGTAAGGGAAAAAAAAAAACCTCAAACTCAAATGTCTTATAGTAACCATTTTATTAGGAAGATGGTAAGACAAAGTCAAGTCATCTGAATGAAGTAAATCACTCAGCAACACTCAACAGCAAGAGTCCTTATAACCACATGTTCTTGTCGTTGTGAAGTGCCATCGAGTCAATTCAGTCTGATAATGACCCTGTATAGGGTTTCCAAGGAGCAGCTGGTGAGCTTGAACCACCGACCTTGCAGTTCAGACAGCTTTGCAGTCTGGCACATTAGCCCATAGCACCACACCAGGACTCCTTATAGATGATTTTAAAAAAGCAGAAGATTTCACCACAGAAGTATGACTGGTAGTAGGTCAATTCAACACTGTCATAGGTGGGATGCAGAAGCAGGGGAAGGACCATGAGTGAGATACATATAAAACTGTAAATTGGAAACGTTTACAGTATTGATCTTGGGATTCTTTGATCTGCCTACATGATGGCTGCAGTGTGACTCATGACCAGGTGGCCCTGGTACCTAACTTCTAGTTGACACACATCTGTAAATCATTAAGGGCACTGCCAGGCAAGTTCACTGAGGGCACGACTGCCCCTCCCTGGGGTTGCCAGGAGAGTTATAATCTGCCTTCAAACACACACTGCTCAAAGGCAAATCTACCATATTGCTGGTTAAGCAGAAAACCCAAAGTCATTGAATGCATTCAACTCATGGTGGACCTATATATAGATCTTAAATTTTTATAGGAGCAGATAGCCTCATTGTTCTCCCTTGAAGCAGCAGGGGAGTTTGAACTGATGACCTTTAGGTTAGCAGCCTACTGCCTATCGCACAGCCCCATTGGGGTTAGTTAAGGGTTAAAAATAACTCAAATGGAGGTTGAACTCATAATGTTTAAAATGAAATTGTTGTTTGTTGTTATGTGCTGTGGAGTCGGTTCCGACTCATAGCGACCCTGTACAGGGTTTCCAAGGCTGTAAATCTTGACAGGAGCAGAAAGCCTCATCTTTCTCCCATGGAACAGTTGGTAGTTTCGAACTGCTGACTTTGCAGTTCGCAGCCCAATTCGTAACCACTACGCTACAAGAGCAAATCAAATTAGGTACGTAATATTTGTTGCACTCACTGGCCTCAGAAAAACGTAAAGGGGTGGGGTTCTTTTAGACTTCCTGGCATATATTTCTTACTATTGTTGTTGTTAAGCACCATTTAGTCTGCTTCTGACTCATAGCAACCCTGATAGGGTTTCTGAGGAGCAGCTGTTGAGTTTGAACTGCAGATTCTACACAGAAGCCTACCATAAACTAATTATTTGTAATTTCAGCTGTAATAAATACACCAACAACAAGTTTTTAATAACTAATTTGCCAAGCATTTTACAAAAGTAATTTTTTTTTTTCATTTTTACAATCACACCAAAAGGTATTGTCCTACATTCAGATTAAGAAAATAAGGTTCAGAGAAATTAAGTAACTTGCCAAAAGTTGCATAACTGGAGAGAATCTAATTTGGGATTTAAATATTCTATTGTAATGCTCATCACATCTCTTTCTCTTCCCTCCCTTCTTTTTGCCTCCTCCTTTTCTTTCCTCTCTTCCTTCTCTTCTCATCCAATATATATTTATTGACTCTTTCTACTACATCAAGCTACCTCCCTAGTACAAGGTCTCTAATAGGTAGTTAAATTCATTGTGAGTGGCATGTCCATGCTAAACTTTCTGTAATCATGCAAATCATAGTGGAGAATTATATGAGTACAGTTTGATTGCTGAGGATATGATTCATAACTCAGCAGAGCTTTTCATTTGTGGTTTTTCATTGTATACATAGAGAAACATGTTTTCATTTTAGAGCTGTTATTTATAGTGAGAATTTTCTGAGTGACTACTAGTTAACTGTCATTCTCTGAAACACTCCATCTCCATGCATTGCACATACACACTCACAGAACTTAACCTACAGAGCAGAAATCAGTTAACCTGAGTAAAGGGCCAGGCACACTGCATATTTAGCCTTGTCTACATGTTCCTGTGATTTTCCAGCACATGCAGCCTCTTCTTACCCATTAAATAAGAGATCCCTGGAAGGGTGTTGGTTATGGAAGACATAGGGTAAGGTCTACTTTCAGTATCTTGTTCAACAATCCAAGGGATGAACCTCAGCCCTTCAATTACTCCTCCATCTACTCCATAGACACCTAAAATGATACATAATGTATTTGTTGTTGTTATTATTAAATGCCATGGATTCAATTCCAACTCACAGCAACCCTGTATAGGTTTTCCAAGGAGCAGCTAGTGTGTTTGAACTATCAACCTTGTGGTTCTCAGTCCAGTGCTGATCCTACTGTGTCTCACTAGAAGTTCTCAGAAGGTAGAAAGAGATAGAAAAGATTAATGAGTTGGAATGGCAAACAGAGGGAAAAAGTAGAAAGAGCTATTACATTGTAGGGATTACAGAATACAAAGTTTAAACATTTTTTTAAATGAATGAAATGAAAAGTTTTCTATTGTCTTTGAGATAATATGGATTCTGATGCAATTGTTGTTGTTAGGTGCCATTGAATTGGTTCTGACTAATAAAGACCCTGTATAGGGAGTCCTGGTGTGGCCCTGTGGGTTAATGCGCCAGACTGCAAAGCCGTTTGAACTGCAAGGTCGGCAGTTCAAGATCACCAGCTGCTCCTCGATAAACTCTAACTCTATATAGGGTCGCTATGGGTCGGACTTGACTCGACTGCACATAATAACAACAACAACATAGGGTCAGAAAAAAAGTGGAAAACCCCCAGCGAGATGGATTGGCAAAGTGGCTGCATCAATGGGCTCAAGTGTGGCAACAATAGTGAGGTTGGCTCAGGATCAGGCAGTGTTTCATTCTGTTGTGCATAGGGTCACTATGATTTGGTACTGACTCAATGGCACCTAACAACAACAAAAACAACATAGAGTTTCCAGGGAGCAGTTGGTGTATTTGGGCAGCTGACCTTGAGATTAGCAGCCCAGAGCTTATGCTACAGAGCCTTTCAAGTATAACATTATCAAGGACGTGTCAATGCTGAAAATACTATCTGTTTTTGCAAATGAAATGAAAGATGGAATATTTTTCTCATAGCTTTCTGAAATTTAGCATGTAGTATAAAAGTGGTTCAATGTAAATCAAAGAATTAGGATTTCATCACTATTATTCAAACTAGCACACCAACCACTAAAGCTTCAGAAGTCAAAGCATTATAATGAAATGTATAAAGACCTAGAGTTAGAAATCAAAGAAAAAAACATACTCAGCATTTCTCAAGCTGAGAGAATTGAAGAAAACATCCAAGCCTTAACTTGTGAAATACTGAAGAATTCTATGTGCAAAATATTGAACGATGCTGAAAGCATCAAAAGAAGATGGAAGGAATTACACAGTCACTGTACCAAAAAGAAATGAATGATGTTTAGCCATTTCAAGAGATAGCAAATGATTAAGAGTCAGTGATACTGAAGGAAAAAGTTCAAGGTGCACTGAAGGCATTGGCAAAGAACATGGATCCTGGAATTGATGAAATATAAATTGAAATATTTCAACAAACTAATGTAGCACTAGAGGCACTCACCCATCTATGCCAAGGAATTTGGAAGACAGCTACCTGGCCAACTGATTGAAGAGATCCATGGCATCAAGTTTAGAGGATGAGTCCATAACAACTTGGGATATGCAGATGATATGACCTTGCTTGCTGAAAGTAAAGAGAGATTAAAATATGTACTGATAGAGATCAAAGACTACAGCCTCCAGTATAGGTTGCACCTCAGTGTAAAAAAAACACCACTGGGCCAATAATTACCACCATGATAAATGGAGAAGGGATTGAAATTGTCAAAGACTTCATTTTGCTTGGATCCACAATCAACACTCATGTGAACACCAATCAAGAAATCAGGCGATGTATTGTACTGGGCAAATCTGCTCTTTAAAGTATTCAAGAGCAAGCATGTCAGTTTGAGGACTAAGGTACACCTGACCCAAGTCATGGTATTTTCAGTAGCTTCATCTGCATGTGAAAGTTGGGCAATGAGTAAGGAAAACCATAGAAGAATTGATGCATGTGAGTTATGATGTTAGAGAAGAATATGAAAAATACCATGTATTGCTAGAAAAACAAATAAATTTGTGTTGGAAGAAGCAAAGTCAGAATGTCCTTAAAAGTCAAGATAAGGAGACTTATCAAAGTCTTTCACA